AAGAACTAGTTTAACAAGGTTTATTTGCAGTTTCCTCTGGTGCCTTCTGTGAGCTGATAAGAGTTTGTCTCGAGTAAAAGAATTTTATTTCCTGCCTTTAGGTACACAAGAGAGAGATTTTTCTGCTTGTTAATTGCCTACCTCAAAATAAATTTTATGTCACAGAAGCATATTTTGGGGTGACATATTCTGGTTTCCTTCCATATTATTGACTACTTGGCCATTTTAGCTGACCTTTGTATTTATTATCTAAGCAGGTATTTACTGTGTGCATTTGCACACATAAACACACACACGGAGAACAATCTCAATCACTTAGCACTTTTTTTGAAAGCCCCATGTTTTCTTGAGGAGAGAGGTTATATCAAATTAAAAGATCTTAAGGAAAGAATAAGTCTTTGAATCTTTCTTTGTTCAAACAAATATATATATATTGTTATGATATATATATGTATCATAACAAAATAGCAATACAAAAAATCCATCAAGTCACAAATGAAAGTTAGCAGGGCTTCACTTCCCAGAAATAAGCAATTATTAATGTGACTCATATGCTTCTTGAATTCTCTCCTAGTCTAGAAAAGCAGTTATTTTAAATATTATTTTAGGCAAGGATTTCTTTATTTCAGTTGAAAATGTAAGTATGCATATACTCCTATTGCACAATTCTTTGAGATCAGCAAAGATACATTTATGCCCAGAATGAAAGCAAACCAGTATTTCTTGATAAACTAGTTATTTTTACTGTACTGAAAACCTCCTCTAAAGCTATTGATTCCCAAAGATCACTCCAATGGTGGCTGTTTTTTCTCACCTCAGCCCTTGTACCACGGGAAGGAGTAGAAATTCTATCCACTTCCTATTGCTGTTTTCAGACTATTTCCCCTTTTCCCTAAAGGTGTCATTATTCTTCACTGGCACCTTTATCTACTGACTCTTGCATCATCTTCTTATGTTTCTCAATGATGTTATCTACCTGCTTATTTTTATTTTCCTTAAAAGTTCTCTGTTGTTTGTTCTTGGAAATTTCTATATATGTAAGGACAGCCTGGCTCTTCAGTTCCCTGAAATTTGCTACTCGTCCTCTGAAGTTTTGAACTCCCCATCTCTCAGCTGCTCACCCCTGCAGTCATCCCCTAACCCTGAACCACCAATGCAGTGGCCCTTAGCCACGTTTGAACACCTGAAGTGTGGTTGGCCCAGAGATGTGAATGTAAAATATGTATCATATTTTAAAGACCAAACACTTCAATAATTCTTACGTTGGTTACAAATCAAAATAATATCTTCATTTATTTTGTTAATTAAGATCTATTACTAAAATTAATTTCACCTGTTTCTACCCTTTCATGTCTACAAAAAAATTAAAACTACAAATGTGTCTTGTATTAGTGCCACACCACTGGATTCATTTTAAGTCATAACCCTGAATCTCAAGTGGGCCCTTCACATTGCCAGGAAGTCATATGATACATTCTACTTATTCATTCATTCATTCTGCCTATTTTCACCCCATTCAGTCTACCTATTTTTACCCTTGTCCTCTTTCTCCTACCCCTATTTCCACTCTCAGCTGATGATTTTTATTTCATTTTTACTGAGAAATTTGAAACAAAAGAGTATTTCCACTTTGACTCCCATCACCTCCTAGTATCTACTGCCATATACTCTGCGTTCTTGACCTTTACCATGAATGAACTACCCATACAAAACTCTCTATTTGTGTGTTACATTATGACCCATCTTGACTCCTAAAGAATTTTGCTCCAACAATTCTAGCCTTTTTTCCACATATTTACATATTCACTCTTAAGTGCATTATATATATATAAGCATACAAACATACTGTTATTTCTGAAATTTCTGAAACTTTTATGGGTCACATTTTGCATGTCAGAAGTATTCTATTATTCCACTTAATGGTAAATATCCTCAAGAGAGTTGTTTGGTGCACTGTCTCAAACTTCTCTTCTTGAATTCTCTCTAAATCACTTGCATATTGGCCTCCACCGCTGCAGTGGTCAATTTTCGGATCTCATCTTGCCTGAATCATCGACAGCATTTGACACAGTTGGTCACTCCTCCTCTATGATTGACTTCTTCATCTGGACTCAAGAATATTTCACTTGCTTGTATTTCTATCTCCATACACTGGTCATTCCATATGATCTTCCTTTTTCCCATAGATTTTAAAATTGGAGATTCAGGGATTCGGCCTTCATCTTCTCTTCTCTGGCTACACTCTCTGCCTTGGTGACTCCTTCTAATGGTCTAAATGCAATCCATTTGCCACTGGTTCCCAAATGTCTGTCTCCAGTCCAGACCTCCTTTCTGAAACCCACACTCACATTTCCAGATGCCTACACAACCTGGGAAATTAATAGGCATTGTGAGCTCAACAGTTATATAATGAGCTAATCTTTCTCCTTCTACAAAATCTACTCTGCAGAAAGCCTTCTTTATCTTATTTGATAGAAACTCTATCCTGATTACTGGGTCAAAAATCCTGGAGTCATCCTGGACTTCTGTCTCTTTCTCACAACCCACAGGTAATCCACCAGGAAATCCTTTTGTTCTACCTTTAAAAATGTGTGAAGAATCCAACTTCTTGTAACCTGTTTCATCACCTGCCCATCCCTACATATACACATTCTATTCTCAGTACCTTAAGCAAGAATAAAGGTGGATTGGATCATGCTACTCTTCTTTAAAAAACCTGCAAACCTCCATCTTCTTAAAACAAAATACAAAATCCTCACAATGACCCAGAAACCCATTACGTCTCCCCATGACTTTCTGGTCTCCTCTACTCTCTTCCACCTACACTGGCTTTTTTGCTCCTCCTCAAAAGCAAGTAGCTGCCACCAGGATCTTAGCTCCAGCTTTACAAGTGCCTGGAATATTCTTTTCCTCTTGAATAATTCCTTCACTGCTTTCAAAACTTTGCTCAAATTTCACCTTCCCAAGTGTGCTTACACTGACTAACCCACTTATTACCATAATCCACACCATCTCTTCAAACCAAGGAGCCTTAATCTTTCCTATGTTTTATTTATTTTTCTTTCCTAATACACTTCATCTTCTAACTCATTAGGTAACTAACTTGGTAATTAAGATTATTGTCGTCTCCTGCTAAACCAGAAGCTCTTAAAGACAGAGATCTTTGTTTGGTTCATTGATGAAACCTATACAGCTGGAAACAGCATCTGGACCACATTCTATCTTTGTTGACTGAAGATAAATATCCCCATGAATTTAATGTTGAACCCAAGTACAGTATAAAAACATTTCTTATTGTTCTTCACTTATTGACAACATTATAAATATCTTGGCCCTTTTCTGTAGCCTAGGTGTTAATGAATTATTCCTTATTGATGTAATAACGTTTATTTTAAATAGTCTGCATTTATCTGGTCATTCATCTGGATTGTCGCATTTGTTTCTCCACAGAGCTGCAAAAGGGTTTCACCCCATGTCTAACCTCAGCGGTTCCCTTTGAAAGACTAGGCTCTGTCATCAGCTTAAAATCCGTATAGTGGTGCAGGAGCACTGAACCTTTTATGAATCTCAGTTAAAATACATCTGTTTTATTTTCAGTGTGTGAACTAGTCTCCTTGGACTGCTGTAACTAATTACTGTAGCTATGGTGCCTAAATTAACAGAAATGTGTTCTCTCACCGTTCTCCCGATGTTCTAAATCAAGGTGCTACCAGGACCATACTTCCACTGAAGACGGGAGGGAGAATCCTTTCTCCCCTCTCCCAGTTCCTGGCTGCTCCTGGACTTCTTGGCTTAGCAGCCTATGTCCGATCTTTGCCCCTGTCTTCACATGGTTTTCTTCTCTGTATGTCTCTGTGTCCACACACCCCTCTCTTTTCTCTATGAGGACAGCAGTCGTTGGATTTGGGCTCACCCTGTATCCATGATGATTTCGTCTTGAGATCCTCAACTTTTCACATCTACCAAGATTCTATTTTCAAATTAAGGCACATTGAGGTTCTGGGTGAACATGAATTTTTGGGAGCACTACTTATCCCACAAGTGGATAAATCCACCTGAGAAAAAACCTTAAATCATTTACATTGTATTATCCTTTGTGATTTGTGCCTCTTCAATGTTTAGGTGTGAAATTTTGACATCTATGAGTTGTTTGTGTTGTTTTGCTTTGCTTTCTTTTGTATAAGATGTAAACACACAACTTATAACCCTCCTTGAGAATAGTGTGCCCAAAGGCATGAAAATAATGACGACAATATTTTTGTTCTAAGTAGTTGGAAGGCAGGTAAATTTCTCCCAAATGTTCTGTTGCACAAAGAGAGATTAGAGTTGAGAAAACAGACAGGAACATAAAATCACAGGTAGAGTGTTTGGGTAATTGGACTCTATCCAGGTAACCTTGACTCACAATGTTATGAACTGTATGGACACGTAATTTTGCAACCTTCTGGGCCTACAAGTTAAGCATTAGTGGAGTCCTTCCCCCTACCTTGGCCAATAACAGGAACAGTTTCAATACTGTGAGGAAAACCACAGAAGTGTTTAAACAGTGGCTGTGCTGCTGATGGCGTGACTACAGCTAAGGGACAAACAGAAACCTCCCACAGACTGAGCCAATAGAAGATCATGACAGAAAATGGGAATAAGAAACTCATTAGCAGCTTCCCAAAAGTCTTTCATTTTCAGAAAACTGAGCACACCAGCTGGGCATGGGTTTTTTGAGTATACAAATAGTTAGGATATATCCATAGTACATTTAATTTCTGTTTGTTGATGATAATGTCACAGATATGTAACATGTTCCTGTGCACATTACTCCTGTGTGTATTACAAAACAGTTGCTTCCTTTGTTTAAAGATCTCAGGATGAGCATTTCATTCAACGAGTACGTGAAAACACAAATCAGAAGAATTCTATTTGGATAACAAGTTCAACATCTTATTAACTACAGTCAGATAACAAGAAAATAGAATGAAGAAATGGGAAGTATGTGATCCACTTACGTTTTCATCCAAGAAGTTGGTTTCTAGTATATCTGCTAGAAAAGTATAAAATGAATATAGCATAAACAAATTGTTGGGTTATTTAAAAGGAAGATGCAGTTGCTAGCAGGTTTATATCTTGCCTTACCACTTTTTTCATAACCATCCAAATAACAGCTAAAATGATCATGAACCCTGTCTCCTTTTCTACAGCTAAATATTTTGTTGTTTTAAATTGATTAATCTTAGTCTAAAGTATCACAAATTCATAATCTCAGTTTACCAATGTTTTTCTTCTAAAATGTAACTTGAGTTACTAACTTTTAATAGATAATTACGGAAACAAGACAGCAATAAGCACAGTAAACTTATTTTAATTAGTCCTTCTGGAAATTCACTGTAGTATTATTATACCTAGTCATTTTCTTAAAAAAATTTTTAGAAAATCATTGATTTTTCTGGAGAAATCTGAGACCTGAAACACATAGTTTAGCATTGTCTCACTTGCCCCCAAAAATAAACAAATTGATCGGTCAATTCCACTCAATCCTGAGTTGAGGGCAGCATTCCTTAAATGACCAACCATAGGGAAAAGAGTTAATGTATAAAATTATAAAGTAATTCATTCATCAAACAAAAAACCCAGGAAGATCAGAAGCTGAAGCTCTTATTTTCAGAAGAATTTTAGCAAAAAATATAGAAATAATAATAGAATATTATCATTTTATAAACACTTAATTCAGAAAAGACTTAATTGACTTATGCTAAAATCATTACGTGAGAGGTTGGGAACAAGATATTCTAGTTTCAGAGAACTACTCGCAGAGGTTACTTATTAATCACCAACGGGAAAAGGTCCATTTACAAAGGAGAAATCTGACAGGCGCTGCATTGACTAAGAGATCAAACTCACTGTCACCAAGAACAGGAGAAACTGCGACCACATGCTTCTTGATGGCTTGTGAAGGATGCACATCACCTATGTGGTTCTCCAATGACCTTAAATATTTGACCTGAGCCTAATTATGATGAAGACACTGTGCAACTCAGAACTGAGAAGCATTCTATAAAACATCTGAAATGAATTCTTCAAAAATAGCAATGTAATTAGAAAATGGAGGGGAAAAAGAAGTAATGGCTAGGGAAGTGCTCTGGATTAAAGATGACTAAACAGACATGACAACTGAATGCAATTCCTAATCCTTGATGGGATTCAGTATTGGACAAATAAAATAAACTTCTTTTTGGAAAGAATTTGGAAATTTTGGGTATGGAATGCATATTAAATAGTAATGCTGTATCAAAGTTAAGTTTCCTGAGTGAGATTTTTATATTGTGTCTGTGCAGCAGGATGCCCATTATTGTAAGAGGTAAGAGGATGATGCATTTGAAGGTAAAGATAAAGTAGTTGCTGGAAAATGTTAAAAATTAGTGAATATGATAAAGAGTATATAGGTATTCTTTGCACAGTTTTGCAGCCCTACTATAAGTTTGCACTTTTCGAAATAAAATTTTGGAAAAAAATTACAATAAATTTTTATGTCACAGTAGTGTGTATAATAATAAAAATTCAAAGTTAGGGCAAACTTTCATTCATTCATCAAATGTTTATTGACTCCCTCCTGTCCGGCAGGAATTTTTCTCCTTACTTGGACAGATTAGCAAAGAAAACAGACAGAGTCCTGCCTTTGTGGGGCTTACAGTCTTTCTTCTCACGTCTGAGTGTCCTCCTAATTTAAATAGGTGAGGGTGAGGGATGGCAATAAGCATTGGAGTCAATGATACCATAAGATTCCTTTCTAGACTAAATGCAATCATTTTAGTGAATGAATTTATTTGCTTTGAATAGATATTATACAGTGGCTAATTTCTTCCACTTAGTGTCTTCAAAAGAATATATTGTAATGAACACAAAAACACTAATTAATCACGCTTACACACAGGGTGTAACAGAAAATAGTATCAGTTCTGCCTTTTGTAGTATTACAAACTCAAAGCAAGACACTATGGAAGTATTTACCGAAAACATGCTAAGTTGTGAGTTTGTTTTGGTTTCTCTTACCAAGACTATGAAGAAAAAATATCTACTTCCAATAAAAAAAAAAGTATTCTTTATACTGTCTTTTTTTGCAGACCCTGTAGTCTTTATCAAATTTATCTAAATCTAAAAATAAATTGCATTACTATTAATGATTATGCATGGCCCCAAACAGAAAGTAAAATACAAAGTTTTAATTCAAAGCTAAATTTAAGAGTAGTAGCCAAATATGACTTTTTTTCATACCCTTAGGTATATGCCAGTTCAATACGAGCAACATTTTTATTAAAAACCCGTACAAATAAGATAATAGGAAATACATGAATAAGACATATTTATGTGTCTCTGTAACTGGTACTGGGCCAGAATATACTTCTGCAGATACTGTATAAAATTATTTATGCTGCTTATGCCCTCAATTCAAATGCAAGTTCACATAAAAGGAATTTTTTTTCTATCCATTCATTTTTATTTCATCCTTGCATTTGTCAGTAGTAATGAGTGATTTTCTGTTGATACCCCTTGTGCAAGGGTGGTGACTAATGATAATTCAGAACTCTTTAGGTCCTGACTGCATTTGGTTTTTTCATTTACTTACCACCTTTATATTTGTGTGCATGTTGGGGAATGGTGATTGAAGGAATTTGAATCTCTTTTACCAAATGTACCTGCTCTGCAAATCAGCTGCAAGAAGGAGGGAGAGTAGGAGGAAGGAAAGCGGGAGCCTCCGTGTGCATTTTTCATGAGATAATGTGAAAAGTTAAAGCTGTATAGCAAAAAAGAAACAAGAGATTACTGGAAGGGTTACTGGGCTTTGATTTCAAATGGAAGATGAAGGCAAATAGCAGGGATGTTTCTTCACTAGACAAAGATGGAATTCAAATTTACTAACAGTTGCTAATGGAGGAGTGAGAGTCGAGTCATTTTATGACTGAGGAGAGAAGAAGAAAAGGAAACAGCGTTGGTAAATTCATTTTAAAGTAGAAGAGAAATAAGGAAGTATCAGATCAGGGCAATCAAGAAGAAACATTCATCATTTTTAAATGTCACAGAAGAGAGGAAGGAACTGTTTGAGCAAATAAAAATAAGAAGATACTTTCTTCTCTTTATTCTTTGTCAAATAAAGGGTGGGCAAGTAATGGAGAGATCTTGCCTGCCTTCTTGCCTTCTCTCTGGTTCACTTTTTTCTCCCCCTGTAATGCACAAAGGCACAGTAGGGACGTAACTAGAGGTTGTGGGCTAGAAGAAAGAGGAAGTGAAAACGTGAAATGAACTTTTTAAAGAAAATGTCTGATTATTCCTGAGCCTTGGTTAAATTGTGAAGCAGATAAAATAGAGCTTTGGAAGGCCCTCTGTTTTTCTCTTCATTTTTCTTCCATGACTTGCGCCCCCTCCCTGCCTTCTTTGCTACTGTCCCGCCGCCTACTCTTTCGGTACTAGTCCCACTGCCTTCCAGTCTCGCCCCAGCTTGAGTCAGCTACTGTCTCTGCCCTTAGAAGTTCAAGCAATGAATGACGGATAACTGGCCTACTTAGCACACTGATCTATAACCTTCTTCACCATAAGGTGCACTGTGGAAAGATGTTAAGAAGAAAGGAAAGCAGACAGCCAAGGGAAGGAAGGGTGGATGGGTGAGTTAGCTGTCATTCCTCTCAGGAGTACCTGAATTTTAAAAATCTTTAGCTGAAGTTGTGATTGTAATTTTTAAACCCAAAGAAGAGAGTTTTAATGGGGAAACTCATACATCATGACACTGACCCTCTTCCTGAAATCTTTAATGATAGTTGTGGAAGCTTTCCCAGAACGTCCATTTACCTCCCTTAAAACTTCTTAGTGCCTCCCCATAAGACTAATTTTAACCTATAGTACTAAGTTTCCAAGGAAATCTATGTAAAATATTATATCTAACCAAGTTAATGGTTTGTGGTTACATAGTTATAAAATATTACCATGGCAATTCTAAAATGCCCCAAGTAGACATACATGCAATTCCTCAGTTGTGTCAGGAGGTGGTGCTATTTATACACCCGAATGCACATTCTCCAGTTTATTATTTTTTATAATTCTAACAATTTCTCAAAAATGTTAATATGAACAAATAATTAGTCTTTGTGTTCTGTTGAATTTGTATGGCTTTCAGCAATCATTTCGTCTTGAGAAAATATTTTCTAGTGTTTTATTTTGTCACTATTTCTGTTTAAAACAGCTTAATCTCAATCTATTAACTAAGAAGGAAACTTCAACCAGGAAGCTTCAACAAGTTCAATATCTTTATTCCCAGGATTTCATTCTAATTGCATTTCAATTTAAAGTGGAATAGAGAAAGACGTAGAAATAAAGCCTAAGGAGAGCTCTCCAAGGGGAGTCACTTGAATGTCACTAGCCTGGTCAGGGACAACTTCAAAACCACAGATATTTGTAAGTATTTTCCCTTTAATTCTGAGAAAATGGTTCCCTAATTCTATCTTTTGGTTTCACTCTATCCATAGCTTTCCATCAGTGCATAAATGCCCATAGCTGGTTCTGCCAGCATTTTTGGTTTGCAGATTATGTGTTTTATGAGGCAAAACATAGCAACACAAACATTTAAATTGCTCCCCACATTTTACAACCTCAATTGCTGTATTTTATATAAAGGCCACAAAATGAATATGGTTATTGATGAAAATTCAATACACGCCAAGGCCTCCTGCTGCCTGACATTGCAAATGGAGCAGATTGAGAAATCACAAGCATGTGAAAAGAAAGGTAAGGAGCAAAAGCCGCAGAACACTTTACAATTTTCATTTCTAAACGCTAGAAATTAGCAAAGGGAAAGGGGGATTATCTTTTTCTTTTGGGAAATTTGATTTCTAATATTACTTCAAGAAAATATCAATCATACAGCTGCTTAGGAAAAGGAGAATTTGTATGAGGGATTTGAAAATAGCTTTAAAATATTACTATGGGCTAGAATCTGTTTTTTAGTTTTATTTTGTTTTGGTTTCTATTTATCATGTGCCTATAAGTGATATTGCAAAATACAGCAAAACTTGTTTGATATTCCTCAAAATGTTTCTGTAAAGATCAGTACCAATGCAAGGGCCACCTGCCAAAATCACACAGTATGTACTCTATCAGGAAGGCAAGAAGTTTCTTGTCTGCAGGCTGGTGGGCCCCTTAATAAACCAATTTTAATCTTCCTCATAGTAGTACACCACCTTGTTTCTTCGCTGTTCATCTAAAATAATATTAGAAACAACCCCAACTCTTCAAAAACCCAAATGGCTCAGAAGACCCCAATAAAGCTGAAGGTTTTCAAGAAGTAGATAGATCAACTTGAAACTTACATTTTTGGGTGTAATGCTTGTAACCAGCAGTACTTTGGTTGGCCATTTACCACATAGTAGTTTACTCTTCCCTTCGAATTGCTTAGGCATCTATTCTAGAAGGCTACCAGCTACCCAGAGGCTGAGGTCTCCTGTCAGAGTCAATTCTTCATGTGTACTTGGAATGGATAAATAAATTTTGAAATAAATTTAATAGTGCTTTTGGTTGAATTACATGTAAGCTTTTCTTACATTTCTGATTTTGCCCTGGGACTGGGTTGGTTTGTCAATTTCTCTTTCTCTCTCTTTGTATGTGTATATATTATATGTATATGTATACACACACACACACACACACACACACACACATATATATATATGTATATATAAAATAGTGCCCCAATGTAGTTCCATATTGAAAGTTATATGCAGGGTTATTGTAAAATTTTATTCCAAATTCAAGCTAATCAGATTAATACACAATTTTCTGCTTAGTGTATAGTTTCTGTACAATAATTATAATTTGTAATCATGTCCTAACACCTTGCAAATGAAATGGAGTCCCTTAGAAAATGTTCATAGTTGCCTTTGATATATCATTATATACCCCATGACTTAAGCTTAGTTAACTGATTGGAGACTTATGAAGTAATAAATAATGATTTAATGATACGTAACACTTGAAAGCTTTTAAAGGTAAATTAATGCTGACTAGCAGACAGAAAATATTTCTTGAATTGAAGCCAAGGATATAAAAGTTAATTCACCCAATAATGAGCATTTTTGAGGCCATTAAGAACTTATTTCTTGCTCATTTCTTAAATGAGAATTTTAGACAGTGTTTAAAAATTCCCTGAATTTGTTACCATTTACCACATAATTACTAATTAGCAAGATAACAAAAATAACTAATACTAACTGAGTATGTATTATAGTTCAGGTAGTGTGCCCAGCCATTCCCAGGTATTAACCTATTTAATATTCACAACAAACTCTTGAGTCTGCTGCTTCCATTCAACAGGAGAGCA